GTAAGCTTAGGTGTCATCTTGGCCTGCGTCTTTAACCATCTCAACGTCTCGTGATCAGAATAGACTTTGAAGTGCCTCCCAAGCAAGTAGTGCTTCCAGTGTTTTAACGCTTGYCTGAGAGCRTAGAGTTCCCTCTCATAGGTAGATGTCGCGACCTTCTCTGAAGGCATCTTGGCGGACATGAACTCTACGGGTCTATAACCATTGCCATCGTCTTGCTGCAGAATAGCACMTATGCCGTACTGACTAGCRTCCGTAGTGACGACAAAAGGTAAAGACGGATCGRCTACTTTAAGGACTGGGTACTCTATCAACGTCTGCTTTAACTTCTTCATGGCAGACGTGCAGTCTTTATCCCACTTCCAGATGGTTTCCTTYCTGAGCAATTTGCRAAGGGGCRCAGCGATAGTGGAGAAATTCCTTACGAACTTCCTATAGTAATTAGCCAGGCCTAAGAACGACCACAATTCTGTCAACGTTCGCGGTGTTGGCCAATCTCTAATCGCTGCAATTTTACTATCCTCTGGCTTAATGTCGTCTCCGTCTAAGACATGGCCCAGATATAAGACTTGGGTCTTTGCCCATTCACACTTCTTTGCGTTGATCTTGAAGTTAGCTTCCCCTAGCTTCTCCAAGACCTGCCTGAGATGACCCTGATGCTCDTCGAGGGTCTAACTAAACACTAAGATATCATCCAAGTAAACTACGAAAAATCTATCCAGCCATGGCGTAAACAAATCGCTCATACAGCGCTAGAACATTGCTGGCGCATTGGTCAGTCCAAAGGGCATCACTATAAACTCATAATGCCCGTACCTAGTCCGGAGAGCTGTCTTATACTGATCATCAGGATGGACCTCTATCTGATGATACCCAGACTTCAAGTCTATCTTAGAAAAATACTTGCACCTCTGCACTCGATCTAGGAGATCATCTATCCTTGGCAGTGGTTCAACATTCTTCACTGTAATAGCATTCAGACCCCTATAGTCTGTACACATCCTCAACTCTCCCTCTTTCTTGGGGACAAAGAGAACAGGCGCTCCAAAAGGAGATGAACTGGGTCTAATCCAACCCTTCTCAAGGAGCTCGTCTAATTGCTTGCGAAGCTCCTCTAACTCCCGCGGGGACATCCTATACACTGCACCCTTAGGAGTTCTACTGCCGGGTTCTGTTTCAATGCGGTGCTGGATGGGCCACGACACTGTCCCTGTCGACGGCTCAACTAGGTCCTTAAACTCTTTCAGCAATTTGGCAATAGCAGGGTCTATAGGCTTTTCTTCCTTAGGCTCAGTGACTAGCCTAACATAGGCTACGAAAACCTGTTCCTCTAGCTGCTCCTTTTTCACTAGTCGTGCAAACGCGGGAGCGCTGAGGCAGCAATGTGTCAGGGAGTTGTCTATTCCTGACACATGGAACAGGCGGGCAGTCTTAACACTGCCTGACGAGCTAGGGAGCCTACACTCATGCTTTCTCAAGTGGAGTGTGGCCCCTGCTGCCTCTCCCCAGTCCATACCCAGGACTATATCAAATGGGAGGCTATCCTCTACGAGGAGAGTCAGGGAATGAAGGACTTTCTCCACTTTCCCATCCTTCTCTAGGCGGAAGTACGCCTGGACTCCCTCTACATAATCCTCTACTCGCATAGTGTGATTGTCCGCGAGGATACTGACTACCAGGTCTACTAATTTTTGGACTTTTAACTTCAACTTCAACTTCTGCATCGCTTTCAATGTAACGACGAGTGGATCCATTGTCCACTAAAGCACCCACTCGGCCTCTAAAAATCTTTGTATCTACCAATATAAGCTGCCCTTTATTCTCCTTTTTCATCTTGGCCCAGGCGGGCATCCTCTCCTTCAGCTCTTCAGCCGCGCCTGTGAGGGAGGTGTCTAGAGAGACTCTAACACAAGCAGTCTCTGGACAGCTATCTAGACACCGACCTGCAACCTTTGCCATAGGCACATGTGGTGTGAAAGTCTCCTGCCGGCTAGCGCTATTTTCCCCACATGGCCTTGTGGTAGGGGCAGTCGCTACCTCTACCGGCGGCTGCCTTTTGACCCTTGAGCAACCGTTCGGGTCTCTCTATACTTTGGACAATATTTGATAATATGGCCCGGGTCACCGCAGAAAATGCACTGGCCCCGGTCCAATCTTTGTTGCCATAAGCCCTGGTCCAGACCCAAACTTTCCCAAGGCCTACCTTGCGGTAGCCCTGGGTGCCATCCGCCTACCCTATAGGGAGACCTATTCCTAGGACGGTTTTGCAGGGGACCTTGACCTCTTCCTCCCGCTTCGCGGTTTCCTCCCCTACCGCCAACTCCCTGATCGCCCTAGGCACGACTCCCTGAGGCCCGGCCCCCTTGGCCCTGGCCTCGTCCTCCTCCTTGCGGCCTCCCTCCGGCCACAACAGCAGCATAAGTTCTCCCCTGGCTCACACCGCTGTCCTTATCTTCTAACCCCAACTCAATTTGTTCGTAGGGGATCTCATCCACACTACCCTCATCTAAAGTAAGGACAAGACTATCCTTAGTCTTTACTTGCCCTGAGATAGTGTGGCCTTTCCATTGCTTGCCCTTATCTAAATCCTTGTGCCAAAAGGTGGACACTGACGCAGACTTGGCTTCAAAAACCACCACTTCACGACTAAGGGAATCATAAGTAGTGGCAGGGTCTTCGCTCTTTGCGAMGAASTGCCCACGAAAGGCTTCGGGCATAGCCCGGTAGAAGAGGCCGACYAATTGGGTCTCTKTGACCCCATGGTCAGGAACAACTACTASCTCATCCATGACACCCTTAAGTGCCTKGACACTCTTTCACTTACGAGAATGGATGGTCTGAAGCCTGTCTGAGGCTTTAACACTACGAGCAACATCAGCGAACCGCTCGCACAACAATTTCATGAACTCGGTGAGGGGAGTGAATGYCGAATACGCAACTGCATCATCGTTGCAGTTGGCAGCACGGACTAGGGACCTCGCAAAACTAGCGGCCTCATCTCTAAGCGCGTGGATCGCAATCAAGACATGCTGATCCGGGGAGACCTGCTGCAAATGCACATAAGTCTTGACGTTGGCCTCCCAGTTGTCAAAGTTCTCTTCCCTTATTCCACTGTAGGAATCAGGGAATTTGACTTTGACCGGCTCCCTACGAGGACGTGCCTCTTCCTCCTTGGGAGCTGCCACCTTGACGTCTTCAATGGCGTCGATGCTAAGCGCTCAGTCTTCTCGAGGCGATGATTCACCTCGGCTCCTACAACACCTATCAGCTCGCGAGCGAAGTCCCGAAATGCCAGTCGCATCGAGCGCACAGCTATATCCTGACTTCTACTGAACTTATATTGTTGTTCTTGTACCCTGGCTAAACGCTCGACTCTCTGGGCAATGATCTCCACTTTACGTTGGATGTCTACCTACGGAGTCAATTGTGTAGTTAGGGTCCGCAACTCCGCTAACTCGTCCGCTGCTGCACTCGCCGCATCCACTTTCCTTTTCTTCTTCCTCATTATTGCGAGTTTCCACTCCATCCTCGTCTCATCTTCCATCGCCCGCCACTTCAGAACATCTTCTTTTGCGTCCCACTTCCTCATGGTGGCTTCCTGCTCATCCTTGGGAATATACATAGTCACCTCTTCTTCTTCGCCCAGGGATAAGTTGGTGACCCACTCCGAAATCCTCTTCTCCATCTCATCAACTTTGCTGCCACTGTGCTGCTCGCTCCTTCTTTGCAGTGACGGTTCCCCCTCTTCTTCCTCTTCCACCTCCTTCAACTTCTCCTCTTCTTCCTTCTTCAACCTCTCTTTTTCTCTGGCCATCTCTTCTTCGATCTTTTTCAGCTTGACCGCCTGCGCCTCCATCAGGGCCTTCTTCTTGCCCTCTTTCTTTTCTTTCCTCTCCCTGAGAATGGCGGCCATCTTCTCCTCCTCCTCCTTCGTATACGGCTTGGTGGAGGCACCACCCTGGGTATCTACTCTACACAATAGCCATTTCGTCAAAACGGACATATTATATTTTTTGAACGAAATCAAAACTGACTTTTTTTGCGAAAATCTGGTCATAATTTTTTGCTCCTGGGGGTCCGGCGTTCCCAAAACGCCGGACCCCCTACATGTATCTGGTCTATGGTTAAGACCTGATACATGTAGGGGGTCCGGCGTTTTGGGAACGCCGGACCCCCAGGAGCAAAAAATTCTGACCAGATTTTCGCAAAAAAAGTCAGTTTTGATTTCGTTCAAAAAATATAATATGTCCGTTTTGACGAAAGGGCTGTTACACGTAAAAGCGTGCCAAAAACCCAGGGGAAAGAGGAAACGCCATAGGGTCCCCCAAAGGGAGAACCCAACGAGCAACCCATACATCGGATAGTCATCCATAGTGGTGTCAGGTGCACGACAAAAGTCCTACTCTTTACCACTTAGACCTACCCAAACACTGACCTACTCACTGACTCTCTAAGGACTACAGGGTGGAACCCTGTCAACTATGGTCACTACCCTGGACCTACTCTAAGGCTGTCACTACTGAACCAACAGTTGATCAGGAGTCATTTAAGGAGATCTCCCGTAACTCCTTAAGAATTCTTTAACGTCGCAGTCAGGACGATGTGATCAGCGTGGTTCTGCCTGTGCTTTCAACCCACAACTCAGCCTTTCCGGCCTACCGTGCCATACCGAGCAGCCCACCGATCTGTACCGGTCCTTGGAGGGGTTCGTGTCCCTCGGGACAGTCGAGTCGTCAGACACATATCATCAGCCTTACCGGGTCAGGTAGTGGGGTGGTTCAAACAGACCCTCAATACTTAAAGACTGGCTGGTGTGTCAGCCCCAGCTGCCGTTCAAGCCCACTGTGCCCTACCAACCGTTTCCAGCCGATCAGTACCAGTCCTTGGGGAGGTTATGCCCCCCTGGAAAGTTGGATCAGTCACAGCCTCAGCTCTACGGTTTCGTTATCAAACCCTATCCTTCATCCATAGAATACTAACACCTAGGACAGAAGAGACTCAATGCAGAAAGAAGAGACATACAGACTCAAACTCAGCAAGTACCATAGGGTAAGTGCACATCCATAGGGTAAGGGGATAGGCTAAGGGCATGGCGAGATGTTACCAACTCCAGCTTGGTCAAAGTCTTGGTCAGCAGCCCCGGTCAACGCCTTAGTCAACGCTGAGTCAACGTGGACAACTCTCGGTCAACGCTCGGTCAACCCCTGGTCAACCCTCTGGTCAAAGCCCGGTCAACCATTCACCTCGGCTATGGCTGCCGACACCTTCACCTTCGTCACCCTCGTCGCTTCCTTCCCCTT